TTCCAGGATTCCAGGATAAAGGACACTCAGGATCCATTCAGAGGGATTTTTCTGGAATGTGGGGATGGAAAAGGCAGGAAAGGGGAAGGGAGACCCTGCCCTGAGTGCCGAGATTCCCAGGGAAGCCCCTTGTTCCCGGAACTCCTTCCCAGGGAGGAGCTGGGCTGGGGCTGGATCCAATGGCAGGCTCTGGCTCCAGGCTGGGAGAGCTGGGAATGGCCAGGCTGGATTTGGGAAGGATCCCGGGAGAGCTTGGAGCACATTCCAGAGGCTGAAGGGGCTCCAGGAGAGCTGGAGAGGGCCTGTTCCCCCTCCTCCCCCCCTTTCCGGGATCAGGGCCTGGCACCTTATGCCAGGCAACAGGGAATGGATCCCGGGGAAAGGGAGCTTTGGGGGGGAGATTGGAAGGTTATTCGGGCTGGGAGGGTGGGGAGGGGTGGTCTGGAAACTTCCCAGAGGAGCTGTGTCTGCCCCTGGATCTCTTGGAGTGTCCAAGGCAGGGTGGCTTTTCCATTTGGATAGCCTGTCGAGGTGTTGGGGTTGGAATGGGATGATCCTTAAGGTCCCTTCCCACCCAAACCATTCCATGATTCCATGAAATCCCGGACCTGCAGCAGCACCGGTGGGTGCCCCCTTCCTCCCGAAGCCACAGAACATCCCTGACCTTTATTCCCTTAGTTTTTGATGTGTTTTCCTGGGTTTTTGTTGGTTTTTTTTATCCCTTCTCCCTCCTCTCCCCCTCATCCCTTTGGGATCCCGTTTGGACACCGATGGGATCCCGGGACGGGGGGGGGGGGCAGGTTGGAAAATCCAGCCCCTCCTCTTCCCGTTAATTAATCCGGAGCCCAGCTGGCCCGGGCAGGTAACGAGGCGCTGATTGCAATTAGTGTAACGAGCCTAACGAGCAGCGCAGCCCCTCCCTCCCTCCCGGAGCCCAGCTGGGCTTCAGGGACAGCTTGGAAAAGCGACGGATTTTCCGGGGCCTCCTCGATTTCCCGCGGCTGGAAGTTGTTCTGATATTATTATTATTATTATTATTATTATTATTATTATTATTATTATTATTATTGTTATTGTTATTGTTATTATTATTATTATTATTATTTTGTTATCCAAGCCTTTCCCGTCTTTTCCCACCCTTCTGGAACACAAGTTGGCTGCTGGAATAATCCCTGGGATGAAGGGGAGTGATTGGGTTGTGTCAGGAACATGACAGGGATTATGGGAATGTTAAATTCCCACTTTTCCTGTTGATCAGAGCGTCCCTAGGGATGATCCTTAGTCCACAGGACGTGGATTGATGTTCCTCTTCCTGTCTTTCCGTGCTCTTTTGGAAAACAAGTTGGCTGCTGGAATTTTCCCTGGGATAAAGGGGAGTGATGGGAGTGTGTCGGGAACATGACAGGGATGATGGGAATGTTAGAATTCCCACCTTTCCTCTGGATTGGAGCATCCCTAGGGATGATCCTTAGTCTACAGGACATGGATTGATGTTCATTTTCCTTTCCCACACATTTGGAAAACAAGTTGGCTGCTGGAATAATCCCTGGGACGAAGGGGAGTGATGGGAGTGTGTTGGGAACATGACAGGGATGATGGGAATGTTAGAATTCCTGCCTTTCCTCTGGATTGGAGCATCCCTAGGGATGATCCTTAGTCCACAGGACGTGGATTGATGTTCCTCTTCCCGTCTTTCCACGCTCTTTTGGAAAACAAGTTGGCTGCTGGAATTTTCCCTGGGATAAAGGGGAGTGAGGGATGTGTGTCGGGAACATGACAGGTATGATGGAAGTGTTAGAATTCCCACCTTTCCTCTGGATTGGAGCATCCCTAGGGATGATCCTTAGTCCACAGGACGTGGATTGATGTTCCTCTTCCCGTCTTTCCACACTCTTTTGGAAAACAAGTTGGCTGCTGGAATAATCGCTGGGATAAAGGGGAGTGATGGGAGTGTGTCAGGAACATGACAGGGATGATGGGAATGTTAGAATTCCCACCTTTCCTCTGGATTGGAACATCCCTAGGGATGATCCTTAGTCCGAAGGACATGGATTGATGTTCCTTTCCCACCCTCTTGGAAAACAAGTTGGCTGCTGGAATTTTCTCTGGGTTGTTCCTGTGAGTCGGGAACACAACAGGGATGATGGGAATGTTAGAATTCCCGCCTTTCCTCTGGATTGGAGCGTCCCTAGGGATGATCCTTAGTCCACAGGACGTGGATTGATGTTCATTTTCCTTTCCCACCCATTTGGAAAACGAGTTGGCTGCTGGAATTTTCCCTGGGATGAAGGGGAGTGATTGGGTTGTGCCTTGGGAACAAATCACGGAGCGGCTCCGGCAAAGCCTGCTGGTTTCCCGGGAAAGCTCCATCCCTGGATTTAACCCCTTCCACGAGGGCCCTGGGACGTCTGGAGCCCCATTCCCATGATTTCGGGCTGGAGTTGGTCCAGGGGCATCAAGGCCCAACCCTTGAGGACCCTCCAAGGCGGAGCTTCCAAGCTTGGCCCAAATTGCCTCTTCCTTGCCTTTATTCCGCTTAAACCCGGATTTATCCGCTGAAACCTTCGGAATTCCCGATTGACGCGCGGGAATGTTCCGGTGCTCCGACCCTCAGCCCTTCCTGGGTGGCTCAGACCTCTCCTCCGGGCCGGGTTTAACCAACCGGGCCGGGTTTAATTAACCCCGTTAATCGCGGCCTAAGGACGAGGGGGAGGAACGTCCCTGCGCCGGGAAGGGGAGGGAACCGGGACATTCCCGAGGGATTGGGCACGGTGGGAGGATCTCCCGGGAGAGGGGGTTTCGGGAAGGCGGGAAGGGCTTCGTGGGAAGGTGTCGGAGATGAGTCAGTTCGTCAGCTCTAATTAAAGGCCGGGCTTTAATTAGGGGGAGGGAGGAGGGGAGGGGTGAGTCAGAGGAAGAGGGGGGAGATGGAGGAGAAGGAGAGGGAGAAGGAAACCCACCCGGATCCATCCCAGATTCCAGAAAAACTCCCTGGGATGGTCTGGGGGTGAAATGCCGTAGGTTTGGGAAGGTGAAATCCCTGGGAATGCAGGGAAGAGCTGGGAATGGTGGTGAGGGCTGGATTGGCCACGTGGTGACCGGGAGGGGACACCTGGAAAATCCCGTGTTTCCTTCCCAAACGTGGCACTGATTCCATAGGAGAGGCTCCTGGTGGGTCTCCAGAGGTCACTTGATCCTTGTTTTCCCTAATTAAAGCCCAGGATTAATTAGGGTGTTGGGGGAGCAGGAGGGAGGGGGGATGAGTCAGAGGAAGAGGGGGGAGATGGAGAAGGAGAGGAGAAGGAAACCCACCCGGATCCATCCCAGATTCCAGAAAAACTCCCTGGGATGGGCTGGGGGTGAAATGCCGTAGGTTTGGGAAGGTGAAATCCCTGGGAATGCAGGGAAGAGCTGGGAATGGTGGGGAGGGCTGGATTGGCCACGTGGTGACCGGGAGGGGACACCTGGAAAATCCCGTGTTTCCTTCCCAAACGTGGCACTGATTCCATAGGGAAGAGTCCTGCTGGGTCTCCAGAGGTCACTTGATCCTTGTTTTCCCTAATTAAAACCCAGGATTAATTAGGGAGGTGGGGGAGCAGGAGGGAGGGGGGATGAGTCAGAGGAAGCGAGGGGGGAGATGGAGAAGGAGAGGAGAAGGAAACCCACCCGGATCCATCCCAGATTCCAGAACAACTCCCTGGGATGGGCTGGGGGTGAAATCCCATAGGTTTGGGAAGGTGAAATCCCTGGGAATGCAGGGAAGAGCTGGGAATGGTGGTGAGGGCTGGATTGGCCACGTGGTGACCGGGAGGGGACACCTGGAAAATCCCGGGTTTCCTTCCCAAACGTGGCACTGATTCCATAGGAGAGGCTCCTGGTGGGTCTCCAGAGGTCACTTGATCCATGTTTTCCCTAATTAAAGGCCAGGATTAATTAGGGTGTTGGGGGAGCAGGAGGGAGGGGGGGTGAGTCAGAGGAAGAGGGGGGAGATGGAGGAGAAGGAGAAGGAGAAGGAAACCCACCCGGATCCATCCCAGATTCCAGAACAACTCCCTGGGATGGGCTGGGGGTGAAATGCCATAGGTTTGGGAAGGTGAAATCCCTGGGAATGCAGGGAAGAGCTGGGAATGGTGGGGAGGGCTGGATTGGCCACGTGGTGTCCGGGAGGGGACACCTGGAAAATCCCGTGTTTCCTTCCCAAACGTGGCACTGATTCCATAGGAAAAAGTCCTGCTGGGTCTCCAGAGGTCACTTGATCCATGTTTTCCCTAATTAAAGGCCAGGATTAATTAGGGAGGTGGGGGAGCAGGAGGGAGGGGGATTGAGTCAGAGGAAGAGGGGGAAGATGGAGAAGGAGAGGAGAAGGAAACCCACCCGGATCCATCCCAGATTCCAGAACAACTCCCTGGGATGGGCTGGGGGTGAAATGCCGTAGGTTTGGGAAGGTGAAATCCCTGGGAATGCAGGGAAGAGCTGGGAATGGTGTTGAGGGCTGGATTGGCCACGTGGTGACCGGGAGGGTCACTGGAATTCCTGTTTTCCTTCCCAAACGTGGCATGCTTCACTAGGGAAGAGTCCTGCTGGGTCTCAGCGGTCACTCTGATCCTTTTTTTCCCTCATAACGCCCTGCTTCATTAGTGTGTTTGGGGAGCAGGAGGGAGGGGGGATGAGTCAGAGGAAGCGAGGGGGGAGATGGAGAAGGAGAGGAGAAGGAAACCCACCCGGATCCATCCCAGATTCCAGAACAACTCCCTGGGATGGGCTGGGGGTGAAATGCCGTAGGTTTGGGAAGGTGAAATCCCTGGGAATGCAGGGAAGAGCTGGGAATGGTGTTGAGGGCTGGATTGGCCACGTGGTGACCGGGAGGGGACACCTGGAAAATCCCGTGTTTCCTTCCCGGACGAGTCACCCAAGTCCACAACCAAGACTCCAGAGGTCGCTTGATCCGCGTTTTCCGCCCCAAAAAGCTCCCCCTGATCCCCGTTTTCCCTCTTTTCCAGGCGCACAGTAGGTGGGGCACCATGAGCGGCCTGGGCGACAGCTCCACGGATCCCGCCAATCCCGACTCCCGCAAGAGGAAGGGATCCCCCTGCGACACGGCCCAGAGGTAATTCCCGGCTCCCGCTCCCCCTCGGCATTCCCGGCCTTTCCCCTCCATGCTCAGGAGGGCTGGAGGCTCCTTATCCCGATTCATGGGGTGGTTTCAGGAATTCGGGGTGCTCGGGGAGGATTTTTTGGGATCGTTCTCATCCCGAGCCTTCCCTTCCCGCCGGATTCCCGAGGATTCTGCGTTTCTTCTTCCATGCTGGAATTAGGGAACACAAAGGGGTTCTCCCTGGAATCCCGGGATCATTCCCAGCTGCTGCGCCGGCTGCCCCTTAGGACCGAGCTTTCCCACCTGATTTAGGGAGAGAATTCCAGGATAGGGGCGGCCGTGACCTCCTTCCACGGGCTTTTCCAGGCTCCCTGTGAGTCTTTTTCCCTGGAGTCTGTTGGGAAGGATGAACCTTTCCCGTGTTTTTACGAGTCCAAGCTCTGAATCCAGGCTGGTCCCGGAGCCGATCCTCACCCCGGAGCGGAGTTTGGGATAAATCAATGGATCCCACGGTGCCAAGGGGGGCTTGGACACCTCTTCCCAAGGGATCTGCTCTCCAGGGGATGAGGACACACACCGGGCCCGGATCCATCCAGTCGGCCCTTGGGAAGCAGATCCCTTGGGATGTGTTTCCTGACCCCCAAGCATCCCCAAAAAAAGCCTCCAGGAGTCTTCCCAAATGTATGGGATGAGGAACGAACGGATCATGGAGGAGAGGGAACTGCTGGGTGAAGGATTCTCCTTCCTTGTCCGAGCACAACATCCCTGGAGAGGGGACCAGGGACAAGGGATGCAGGGACAGGACACAGGGAATGGATCCCAGTGCCAGAGGGCAGGGAGAGATGGGAGATTGGGAAGGGATTCCCGGCTGGGAGGGTGGGGAGGGGCTGGGCTGGAATTCCCAGAGAAGCTGTGGCTGCTCCTGGATCCCTGGGAGTGTCCAAGGCCGGGTTGGATTCCCTGGGATAGCGGGAGGTGTCCCTGAACATGGAATGGGATGAGCCTTAATGCCCCTTCCCACCCAAACCAGTCTGGGATTGTGGGATAAAGGACACTCAGAATCCACTCAGAGGGGTTTTCATGGAATGTGGGGATGGAAAAGGCAGGAAAGGGGAAGGGAGACCCTGCCCTGAGTGCCGAGATTCCCAGGGAACCCCCTTGTTCCCGGAACTCCTTCCCAGGGAGGAGCTGGGCTGGGGATGGATCCAATGGCAGGCTCTGGCTCCAGGCTGGGAGAGCTGGGAATGGCCAGGCTGGAGAAGGGAAGGATCCCGGGAGAGCTCGGAGCACATTCCAGAGGCTGAAGGGGCTCCAGGAGAGCTGGAGAGGGCCTGGGGATCAGGGCCTGGAATGCCAGGCCCCAGGGAATGGATCCCAGTGGGAAAGGGGAGATTTGGGAGGGAGATTGGGAAGGGATTCCCGGCTGGGAGGGTGGGGAGGGGCTGGGCTGGAATTCCCAGAGAAACTGGGGCTGTCCCTGGATCCCTGGCAGTGTCCCAGGCCGGGTTGGATTCCCTGGGATAGCGGGAGGTGTCCCTGCCCATGGAATGGGATGGGATTTAAGGTCCCTTCCCACCCAACCCATTCCATGATCCCATGACCCCCATCCCACCTCCAGCCTTTCCGGGAGGGGTCACTCAACCACTTGACCTTGGATTGACCATCCGACCCCAAACCCCGGAGCTGGAGCAGGTTCCCAAACTCCAGGCGGGAATTCCCCACCGGTGCCGTGTCTCCCTCCTTCCCAACCCTCCTCCTCCTCCCTGGAGCCGCTCCATGAAATCCTCCGGATCGAACCAACCTTCCGACCCCCTGGAAGGTTCAACCCCTCCTCGGGAGCCCCAGGGAACAACCCGCCCCTGGAATGTTCTCCCGACGCTCCCGTGGCAGGAAAATTGGCCGATCCTCCCTCCCACCCTTCGGAAGTTTCCACAGCAACGGCGACACTCCAGGTTTTTTCATGGAATTGAGCTCGCCCACGACGCAGGGATGGGATTTTCTTGGCTCTCTCCCCCCCTCTGCTGCTGCTTTTTGGGTCTCGGGGAGAGGAATTCATTCCCCTTTTCCCGGATCCTTTGGGAATTGGCGGTGCCGGTGTCACCCGTTCCCAACCGGATCCTGCTGGGCTTCCAAGCCCACTTCCATGGAGGTGTTTCTGAATCCCTGTGATCCCTTGGCAGGGATTTGAGGGCCCTTGGACCCACCTAAACCCACTGCCGAGGGTTTTCTGGGATGTCTCCCGTGGAAGGACTCATGGAATTCACGGTCCGGGTGGGAATAGTTTGTGTTTTCCAGGATTTTACTGATCTCTTTTGGGATTTGGAGGAGACAAAAGGAGGACGAGTCTTTCCTGTCACTCCCGTCATTCCAGTCACTCCTCCCGGGGAGGGAGGAGAACGAGCTGCTGGAGAGGGAATTTGGGAATTTGGGAGGTGAAGGTTCATCGTGGAGCCTCACGGAATCCTGGAAGGGATGGGAAGGGACCTTAAGGATCATCCCATTCCAACCCTGACACCTCCCCCTATCCCAGGTGGCTCCAGCCTTTCCTTGGACACTCTCAGGGATCCAGGGGCAGCCACAGCTTCTCTGGGAATTCCAGCCCCCCACATTCCATAGAAATCCCTCTGAATGGATGCTGAGTGTCCTTTATCCTGGAGTGGTTTGGGTGGGAAGGCACCTTAAGGATCATCCCGTTCTGACCCCGGCACCTCCCACTATCCCAGGGAATCCAACCCGGCCTGGGACACTCCCAGGGATCCAGGGGCAGCCACAACTTCTCTGGGAATTCCAGCCCAGCCCCTCCCCACCCTCCCAGCCAGGAATCCCTTCCCAATCTCCCCCCCAAATCTCCCCTTTCCCACTGGGATCCATTCCCTGGGGCCTGGCATTCCAGGCCCTGATCCCCAGGCCCTCTCCAGCTCTCCTGGAGCCCCTTCAGGCTCTGGAATGTGCTCCAAGCTCTCCCGGGATCCTTCCCTTCTCCAGCCTGGCCATTCCCAGCTCTCCCAGCCGGGATAGTCCCATCCCACAGGGAGCTGAAGGGAACTTTTATTTAATATTGCCGAGGACTTCCAGGACCTGGAATTCCCAGCAGTGGGAATGACTCGGATTCAGTTCAGTCACCGTCACTCGATCCCTAAAGATCCGAACGCACGAATTTTACCCTGCATTAATCACCATTAACAGTGGTGATTAATCACCACTAATCGCCATTAATGACCGTTAATAATGGTGATTAATTAGTGGAAATCCTGACGTGGTGATTCCCTTTGGGAGAGCTTTCCCTCGCCTGGAATTCAAGAGATATATCAAGATACATCCCAAAATAAGATATAAATGGGATGTTTGGGATCTATCAGGGTGCATCCCAAAATAAGATATAAATGGGATATTTGGGGTATATCAGGATCCATCTCATAATAAGAAACATCCCAAAATAAGATAGAAATCAGATATTTGGGATCTATCAGGATCCATCCCAAAATAAGATATAAATCTTTGGGATCTTTCAAGATCCATCCCAAAATAAGATCCATCCCAAAACAAGATAAAAATCAGATATTTGGGATCTATCAGGATACATCCCAAAATAAGATACAAATCAGATATTTGGGATCTAGCAGGATACATCCCAAAATAAGGTCTAAATGGGATATTTGGGATGTATCAAGATATATCCCAAAATAAGATATATCCTAAAATAATATAGAAATCTTTGGGCTCTATGAAGATCCATCCCAAAATATGATATAAATGGGATATTTGGGATCTATCAGGATCCATCCCAAAATAAGATGTAAATCAGATATTTGGGATCTATCAGGATCCATCTCATAATAAGAAACATCCCAAACTAAGATAGAAATCAGATATTTGGGATCTATCCGGATCCATCCCAAAAGAAGATATAAATGGGATGTTTGGGATCTATCAGGGTACCTCCCAAAATAAGATATTAATGGGATATTTGGGATATATCAAGATATAAATAAGATGAGATATTTGGGATCTATCAGGATACATCCCAACATAAGATCCATCCCAAACTAAGATAGAAATCAGATATTTGGGATCTATCAGGGTACATCCCAAAATAAGATCTAAATCAGATATTTGGGATATATCAGGATACATCCCAAACTAAGATACAAATCAGATATTTGGGATCTATCAGGATCCATCCCAAAATAAGATCCATCTCAAAATAAGATATAAATCAGATATTTGGGATCTGTCAAGATCCATCCCAAAATAAGATATAAATGGGATATTTGGGATCTATCGGGATCCATCCCAAAATATGATACAGATCAGATATTTGGGATCTGTCAAGATCCATCCCAAAATAAGATATAAATGGGATATTTGGGATCTCCCAAGCTCCATCCCAAAACAAGATAGAAATCAGATATTTGGGATCTCTCAGGATCCATCCCAAAACAAGACATAAATCAGATATTTGGGATCTCTCAGGATCCATCCCAAAACAAGACATAAATCAGATATTTGAGATCTCTCAGGATCCATCCCAAAACAAGACATAAATCAGATATTTGGGATCTCTCAGGATCCATCCCAAAACAAGACAGAAATCAGATATTTGGGATCTCTCAGGATCCATCCCAAAACAAGATACAAATCAGATATTTGGGATCTCTCAGGATCCATCCCAAAACAAGATAGAAATCAGATATTTGGGATCTCACAGGATCCATCCCAAAACAAGACATAAATCAGATATTTGGGATCTCTCAGGATCCATCCCAAAACAAGACATAAATCAGATATTTGGAATCTCTCAGGATCCATCCCAAAACAAGACATAAACGGGATATTTGGGATCTCTCAGGATCCATCCCAAAACAAGATAGAAATCAGATATTTGGGATCTCTCAGGATCCATCCCAAAACAAGACATAAATCAGATATTTGGGATCTCTCAAGATCCATCCCAAAACAAGACATAAATCAGATATTTGGGATCTATCAAAATCCATCCCAAAACAAGACATAAATCAGATATTTGGGATCTCACAGGATCCATCCCAAAACAAGACATAAATCAGATATTTGGGATCTCTCAGGATCCATCCCAAAACAAGACATAAATCAGATATTTGGGATCTCTCAGGATCCATCCCAAACCAAGATAGAAATCAGATATTTGGGATCTCTCAGGATCCATCCCAAAACAAGACATAAATCAGATATTTGGGATCTCTCAGGATCCTCCCAAAACAAGACTAAAATCAAGACTCTAAGGATCATCCCAAAACAAGACATAATCAGATATTTGGGATCTCTCAGGATCCATCCCAAAACACAGATCGAGAAATCAGATATTGGGATCTCTCCAGCCCAAAACAAACAGAAATCAGATATTTGGGGATCTCAGGATCCAAATCCCACAAGATATACATAATATTGGGATCTCTCAGGATCCATTACCCAAAACAAGACAGAAATCAGATATTTGGGATCTCTCCAGGCCCATCCCAAAACAAGACATAATCAGATATTTGGGATCTCTCAGGATCCTCCCAAACAAGACAGAATCAATATTGGGATCCATCAGGATCATCCCAAACAAGATAGAAATCCAGATATTTGGGATCTCTCAGGATCCATCCCAAAACAAGACATAAATCAGATATTTGGGATCTCTCAAGATCCATCCCAAAACAAGACATAAATCAGATATTTGGGATCTCTCAAGATCCATCCCAAAACAAGACATAAATCAGATATTTGGGATCTCTCAAGATCCATCCCAAAACAAGATAGAAATCAGATATTTGGGATCTCTCAAGATCCATCCCAAAACAAGACATAAATCAGATATTTGGGATCTCTCAGGATCCATCCCGAAACAAGACATAAATCAGATATTTGGGATCTCTCAGGATCCATCCCAAAACAAGACAGAAATCAGATATTTGGGATCTCTCAGGATCCATCCCAAAACAAGACATAAATCAGATATTTGGGATCTCTCAGGATCCATCCCAAAACAAGATAGAAATCAGATATTTGGGATCTCTCAGGATCATCCCAACAAGAATAAATCAGATATTTGGGATCTCTCAGGATCCATCCCAAACCAAGATAGAAATCAGATATTTGGGATCTCTCAGGATCCATCCCAAAACAAGACATAAATCAGATATTTGGGATCTCTCAGGATCCATCCCAAAACAAGACATAAATCAGATATTTGGGATCTCTCAGGATCCATCCCAAAACAAGACATAAATCAGATATTTGGGATCTCTCAGGATCCATCCCAAAACAAGACATAAATCAGATATTTGGGATCTCTCAGGATCCATCCCAAAACAAGATAGAAATCAGATATTTGGGATCTCTCAGGATCCATCCCAAAACAAGACATAAATCAGATATTTGGGATCTCTCAGGATCCATCCCAAAACAAGACATAAATCAGATATTTGGGATCTCTCAGGATCCATCCCAAAACAAGACATAAATCAGATATTTGGGATCTCTCAGGATCCATCCCAAAACAAGACATAAACGGGATATTTGGGATCTCCCAAGCTCCCATCCCAAAATCAGAGACCTGGGATATATCCCGGTCACCGCGTCTCGTTTTCCCGTCTCCTTTTCCCCGTTTCCGGGCGCGCCGAAGCCGGATAAAGGGCTAAAACCCCCCGAATTCCCGCGGACGTGACGGGTTTTTCCCTGTTTTCCCAGCGCGGAGAAGCGGCGCCGGGAGCAGGAGCACAAGTACCTGGAGGAGCTGGCGGAGCTGCTGTCGGCCAACATCGGGGACATCGACACCCTCAGCGTCAAACCCGACAAATGCAAGATCCTCCGGAAAACCGTCGACCAGATCCAGCAGATGAAGAGGTTGGAGCAAGGTGAGGGGGGCCCTCGGGAACGGCGGGAAAAATCCGTGGGGGGAGGGGTTGGGCTTCTCCTGGAATTCTTCAAACCACGGGAATGGTGATGAATTAGTGGGAAATCGTGGCGTAGGAATTCCATTTGGAATTGTTTTCCTTCCCCTGGGATCCTCCGAGCCACGATTGTGGTGGGAATCAGTGGGAGAATCCTGCTGTAATAATTCCATTTGGAATCGTTTTCCTTCTCCTGGAATTCTTCAAACCCCGATAACGGTGATTAATTAGTGGAAATCCTGATGTAGGAATTCCGTGTGGGAGGGTTTTCCTTCTCCTGGAATTCTTCAAACCCCGATAACGGGGATTAATTAGTGGAGATCCTGATGTAGGAATTCCGTGTGGGAGGGTTTTCCTTCTCCTGGAATTCTTCAAACCCCGATAATGGTGATTAATTAGTGGAGATCCTGATGTAGGAATTCCGTGTGGGAGAGTTTTCCTTCTGGGATCCTCCGAGCCACGATCGTGGTGGGAATCTCTGGGAATTCTCTGGTGGAGTAATTCCATTTAGGAGAGTTTTCCTTCTCCTGGAATTCTTCAGATCGCAGTAATGGTGATTAATTAGTGGAAATCCTGATGCAGGAATTCCATTTGGAATTGTTTTCCTTCTCCTGGGATCCTCCAAGCCACGATTGTGGTGGGAATCAGTGGGAGAATCCTGATGTAATAATTCCATTTGGAATCGTTTTCCTTCTCGTGGAATTCTTCAAACCCCGATAACGGTGATTAATTAGTGGAGATCCTGATGTAGGAATTCCATTTGGAATCGTTTTCCTTCTCCTGGGATCCTCCAAGCCACGATAATGGTGGGAGATCCTGATGTAATAATTCCATGTGGAACAGTTTTCCTTCTCCTGGAATTCTTCAGATCGCAGTAATGGTGATTAATTAGTGGAAATCCTGATGCAGGTATTCCATTTGGAATTGTTTTCCTTCTCCTGGGATCCTCCGAGCCACGATAGTGGTGGGAATCAGTGGGAGAATCCTGCTGTAATAATTCCATTTGGAATCGTTTTCCTTCTCCTGGAATTCTTCAAACCACGATAACGGGGATTAATTAGTGGAGATCCTGATGTAGGAATTCCATTTGGGACAGTTTTCCTTCTCCTGGGATCCTCCGAGCCACGATCGTGGTGGGAATCTCTGGGAATTCTCTGGTGGAGTAATTCCATTTAGGAGAGTTTTCCTTCTCCTGGAATTCTTCAGATCGCAGTAATGGTGATTAATTAGGGGAAATCCTGATGTAGGAATTCCATTTGGAATTGTTTTCCTTCTCCTGGGATCCTCCGAGCCACGATTGTGGTGGGAATCAGTGGGAGATCCTGCTGTAATAATTCCATTTGGAATCGTTTTCCTTCTCCTGGAATTCTTCAAACCACGATAATGGTGATTAATTAGTGGAGATCCTGATGTAGGAATTCCATGTGGGAGGGTTTTCCTTCCCCTGGGATCCTCCAAGCCACGATCATGGTGGGAATCTCTGGGAATTCTCTGGTGGAGAATCCTGGTGTAGTAATTCCATTTAGGAGAGATTTCCCTCTCCTGGAATTCTTTGAACTGCAATAATGGTGATTAATTAGTGGAGATCCTGATGTAATAATTCCATTTGGAATTGTTTTCCTTCCCCTGGGATCCTCCGAGCCACGATAATGGTGGGAATCAGTGGGAGAATCCTGCTGTAATAATTCCATTTGGAATCGTTTTCCTTCTCCCGGAATCCTTCAGAATCCACAAGAACAGTGATTAATTAGTGGAAAATCCTGATGTAATAATTCCATCTGGGAGAGTTTTCCTTCTCCTGGGATCCTCCAAGCCCCGACTGCGATGGGAATCAGTGGGAGATGAGAATTTTATTGGCACGTTCTGGAGCGGAGCCGCTCCATAAAAATCAACGGATTCGAGGGATGTTCCCGCGGTGTCTTGTGGGGGTGAGGGGGGGTTGTTGTATCCGAAATCAATCCTGGATAAAAAACGGATCCCGGCGGATCCGGAGCCGTTCCGGGTTGGAAGCAAAGCGTGGGGAGGGAGAGAGGGTGTGGAATTCCCTGGATCCGCTCCGGGAAACTCTTCACTCTGGGCGAGGGGCAAGGAATTCCTCGGATAACGGGGAGGGTTTAATCCCGGGAAAGGCGGGAAGGAGATCCCTGTGGATGCTCGGGAAGCAAAGCCGGGACTTTCCCACTGAAATATCCCAGTGGATGGGATGGGATGGCCGGGACACGCCATTAATCCCAAATTCCAGCACCACCATCCCTGAATTCCCGTTTGGCCAAACCCCGCTGGCATCCCGTCGCTTCCCTGGGCTTCCATTCCCGAATCACCCTCCCAGCTGGAATTCCAGACCCAAATCCCGCCTGGATTTCGCCCGGCTTCGGCTTTGCCTCGTCCTCTGTCAGCCTGGATTTCAAAACCCCTCCAGCATCCCGGATTTTCCGTCCTTATCCACGTTTCCAGCGCCACCCCCACGTCCCCACTCCTTTCATCCCCATTCCCGGATGGGAATTTTTCCAAGGCGTTTTCCCTCGGCCTCCGGCTCGTTCCCACGGCTCCCCTCCGGATCCAGCAATCCAGAGGGAATCCAGAATCCATGGATCCCACGCCTGGGGCTCCAGAGTTGTCTCACCACCCAGGAGAAGCTTTTCCTCACATCCCAAATTCCCGTCAGCGCCCGTGCTTCCGGAACCTCCCTGTATTCCTGAAAAGCGCCAATTCCCGGGATACCGCCCGCCCGGCATTCCCAGATGTCCATCCTACATCGCTCCAGGAAGGATCCGAGTGTCCTCCTGCACCGGGACGAGAGGAAATGGCACCGGGAGAGACGTTTAGGTTGGATATTGGGAATAAATTCCGGCCCTGGCAGGGTCGGAATTCCTATTCCTGGAGGGATTTCAAATCCCTATGGATACGGCAGCGGGGGACACGGATCCGTGGTGGGAACGCTTGGATTTGGTGATCCGGGAGTTCTTTTCCGCCCCCAGCGATTCCATGATCCATGAAGTCGTCCAACGATCCGGCAGAGATTCCCAGGAAACTCCACAAAACTCAATTTTTGGGAATAAAGGCGTTTCCCAGGATGAGGGGGCAACCGTCTGAGGGTGGGTTGGCCCCTTCCCGTCAAAGAGCTGGAAAAAATTCCCAGTTTTCCCGCGAAACGGAACCGGCTTCTCCCGCTTTTTCCTACCTGAAGGTCACCTCACTCCCACCAGGATTTGAGCTTGGGATAAAAGTCGGGAATGGCTTCTTGGAAGTGCGACGACGACGACACGCCGGGGGTGATCCCTAAAGCTGCCGGCGGGACCCGGATGAGGAAAACCGGGACAATCCGGGACAGTTCCCGCAGGGGAAAAAAAAGGATTTCTGTTGGAAAAAGTCCGTCTGGGTCGGCCACGGGAAAGGCCGGATTGTCCAACGGCGGAATTCCAAGGAAATTGCAGGAGGCGAGGGAAGGACGGAGAGCGACGAAATTCCCGAAAATAAATCGGGGAAGGGCCGGAACTTCCAGAGGGGAGGAAAAACTGACCCACGGTGAAAGAAAAGTCACAGAAATGTCCCAAAATTCCCGGTGGATCCGCCGGAGGATTCCCGGAAGGATGGCGGGGAAAGGGTTAAAAGGGGGGGCTGGATCCGCCTGGATTCGGTTTTCCTTGGATCAGCCAAGTGGGAATTCCCCGTCCCTGCCCGCATCCGATCCAACCCCCGGGGGGGTTTTTTGTTGGTTTTTCCCTCAAAAACTGTGGAAAACCGGGATGGAAGCGGGATGGGAGCCCCTCCCTCCCTCCCTCCGGCAGCGCGGAGCAGCTCCGGGGGGTTAATTCCAACCGCCAGGATAAAGGAATTTTTCCCTGCCCGGCACCCCCCAAACGCTCAGGCAGGGAAGGTCCTTCCCAACCTCGGGAATGCCGCCCTTCCCCGACCTCCCTGGGAGCACAGAAAAATCGGGATAGCTCCCGCAAAAATCCATGGATCGAAGGCCGGCAGCTGCAGCCTGGAGAGATTCCCAGCTAATTTTAGACGAAGCTTAATGTGGTCTTAATTAATTAATTAATCGATAATCAACCGTAAATTAATTTTATTATGTTTATTAATGTTGTTTTAAATTAATTTTATTATAAATTAATAGTTATAATTTTTAATCATTAAGTTATATAAACTTATATAATACATAATATAAAATATAAAATATAATATATATAATATAAAATATATAATATAATATATATTATATAATATAAAATATATAATATAAAATATATAATATAATATATATTATATAATATATAATATATAATGTATATTTATATAATTGTATTTATTATAAATATATATTTATAATATAATTATATAATTGTTTATCATAATTCCATTACATTTATACGTTTAATTATTAAAATATTAATCATATGAATTAATATTTATAAGTTCTGTGAATTATTAATTTCTGAATTTACAAATTAATTTGGGTATAAAAATTTTAATTTAATTGATCAATCCATCAATCAATTAAGGGATGAAAAGAAGCCCTTTAATTACCGCAAACCCCTCGGAGCTGTTCTGGTTCGTTCCCTTTTCCGGCAGAGATTCCGGGAGGAATTCCCGCTTCCCGCCCGCTCCTCCCGCTCCCGTTTTTCCCTCAGACCTCACAGGTCGGGCCTAAACTCGGGTTTAGGACTCGTTTAAAGCCGGGATTAGTTGAGCCCAGGCTCTTCCTCCAGCCGGTTTTCCGAGCCCGAGGGGTTTCCATCCCTTTTTCCGGTGAGTCGGTTCTTCCCCGAGAAAAATCTCCCTCTTTTGGGTTCCCTGAGGGACAAACAACCCCCCCCCCCCCCTCCCAGAGGGAGTTTGGGGTTGGATCGGCAGGAAAAAACTCCCGGGAATGACTCCGGTGGGAGAGGAGGGAAAAGGGATCGTGGAATCGTTGAGGTTGGAAAATCCCTCCGGGATCGCAGAGTCCAACCGTTCCCAAG